CAAAGTATCAGAATTGATTCTCGCACGAAATGTTACTTCTTCTCTTTGGAGCCTTAACCGTGAAAATAATATATCTCGGAACGTAAATTTAGTCTGGTCAATTAATAAATAAATAAATAGATGGCGTTTTGCTGTATATCGGATAAGCCTTATACAAAAAACAACGTTGTTCGATTTCTAGGCTTAGAAAGTAGCATACAACAGTCTTTTTAATCTATGTTTTTGCTTCCTGTCGAAGATTTCGACAATCTTGAGATGTTTGGTTGTCATGACAACGTCACGTACACACGTGAGATGGTAGTTTTGTACCAAGAAAAAACAAAAACACACATTTAGATAGCTCTACACTAAATCACAATGAACCGAAAACTAATTTTGACATAAGCGGGCCAAGATATTAAGTCACAAATTAGCGTTCTTATTGCAGTGATCCATGAATGATTATTTTAATGCTTGATGTTTTCTTCTAACTCGGCATTAGAAGTGCTGTTTTTTAGGTTTCATAAATTTCAAAATACCCTTACGTTTCGTAGAGATAGTAGAATAACAGTAATATTTTGCTCATTTAAAACTCTTCAAAGTGTAAACCTACCAATCAGAATTGTTTGTGGATTAGCTTTGTTGTCTTTTAACGAAATCTACCAATCAGAATTGTTTGTGGGTTAGCTTTTAACTAAGTCTACCAATCAGAATTGTTTGTGGATTAGCTTTGTTGTCTTTTAACGAAGTCTACCAATCAGAATTGTTTGTGGGTTAGCTTTTAACTAAGTCTACCAATCAGAATTGTTTGTGAGTGAGCTTTATTGTATTTTAACTAATTATACCCATCAGAATTGTTTGTGGGTTAGCTTTGTTGTATTTTAACTAAGTCTACCCATCAGAATTGTTTGTGGGTTAGCTTTGTTGTCTTTTAACTAAGTCTACCAATCAGAATTGTTTGTGGGTTAGCTTTGTTGTATTTTAACTAAGTCTACCCATCAAAATTGTTTGTGGGTTAGCTTTATTGTCTTTTAACGAAGTCTACCAATCAGAATTGTTTGTGGGTTAGCTTTTAACTAAGTCTACCAATCAGAATTGTTCGTGAGTGGGCTTTATTGTATTTTAACTGAGTCTATCAATCAGAATTGTTTGTGGGTTAGCTTTATTATCTTTTAACTAAGTCTACCAATCAGAATTGTTTGTGGGATAGCTTTGTTGTATTTTAACTAAGTCTACCCATCAGAATTGTTTGTGGGTTAGCTTTGTTGTATTTTAACTAAGTCTACCAATCAGAATTGTTTGTGGGTTAGCTTTGTTGTATTTTAACTAAGTCTACCAATCAAAATTGTTTGTGGGTTAGCTTTGTTGTATTTTAACTAAGTCTACCCATCAGAATTGTTTGTGGGTACATTACTACGTATACGTGTAATATACTGACTGTACAGGAATATACTGCCTGTAGAATATCTGCCTGTACAGGAATATACTGCCTGTACAGGAATATCTGCCTGTAGAATATACTGGCAGATATTCCTGTACAGGCAGTATATTCCTGTACAGGCAGTATATTCTACAGGCAGTATATTCCTGTACAGACAGTATATTCCTGTACAGGCTGTAGAATATACTGCCTGTACAGGAATATACTGCCTGTAGAATATCTGCCTGTACAGGAATATCTGCCTTTTTTAAGATGTGTAAACTCGTCTTAAGGATATGATGTAGCGTTCCAAGTCATGAATACTTTTGTATAATATTTATGAATTAACGAAATATTATTAAATCCATGTCATAATATTCATACTTTTGGCCACTCTGTATTTGTGTTAGTAGATAATATCCACTCTCGTGATATCGAGATATCATTGAAACGGTAGAGTGATATCTTAGTATTAGAAAGACAGAAGATTAAATTGAAACACCGTTTCTCGTCACTCCAAAGAAGCAGGCGTCATCCAATTTGTAGACCTTAATGACGAGTTAAGACCTTGCTTTAGCTAAAGCAAACAAATTGTCGTAATGAAAGCCGGCTTCAAACTGTTGTTTTTGTTCAAAGATATTCATATCCTAAAGCAAACAAGGATGCGAGCACACTTAAGGTTTAATGATACCGCTGGATATACATCCACTTCTTTACACTCCGAAGTTATTTCAATTAAGCACCTGTACTGTATAAATAGCAGGTAATTCATTATGTGTTCATTAGTTTGAGTAGGTTAGTAACCATTAACTGATATATAAACTGGTTATTACAGATGGTCTGGGAGCAAGGAAGCGTTGTTGTTGTCATGCTTACTCGACTAATGGAGAACGGCGTTGCAATGTGCCATCGCTACTGGCCTGAAGAGGGCAGTGAAGTCTACCATATTTATGAGGTAGAACGAGTTGAATTAAGTAGCTTATCCTTGTGAATTTAAACACACTTTATGTTCCTTAGAGGTATTTTGAAACTCTTAAATATTCTCAAATAATTCCTTTCACGATTAATTCGGTTCACTCACTTACAGAATAAGTTTGTTAAAAGTTCTATGAGGAACCAACAGCGTCATTAAGTTTGCTGAACGAAAATATTGTATCCTTTAATATCGAACTGTGTTTCGGTATCAGAAAATGATAAATGTAATATTGTATTGTTTGGTAAATATGATTTCACAATTCGAGATTAAGTGCTACAGAGTAAAGTGATACTTTGTTTATATAAATGTGTGTGTGTGTGTGTGTGTGTGTTGCACAAAGCAGTTAAAGAATAATAGGAATTTATAATATTTTAACTATGACGATACAAAACAATTCCTATAAAATATTCTACATCATTCTCGTCATCTCAGTTTTATACAAATCACTTTAGTATGGAGTAGTAAGGTCATCACTAACAGCTAGGGCATTTCACTTGCATATGCAATAGTATGGCTACCACGAACAGCCAGGGCATTTCACTTGTATATGGAGTAGTAATGCCACCAAGAACAGCTAGGGCATTTCACTTGTATATGGAGTAGTAAAGCTACCACGAACAGCTAGGGCATTTCACTTGTATATGGAGTAGTAAAGCT